ATAATATTTAATTAAAATAACTAAAAAGGATTTAATGTATATTAAAATTTGATGGTATTGAATAAAAAATTTTCACATAAAAAAATTTAGTAGTTTTTAGAAATAAAAGTTTCAATAGATTATTTTAATGAATGAATTCCATGAGACTTTTAGTTGAATTTATATATAGTTCAATTATCTAATAATCTCGCTAAAATTATTAAAATTTTACATATTTTATTTATTTACTTTTCTTATTTTTTTCATTTATTCTTTTTCTTTTCTCTTTTATCATGTTACTCTCTTTCATCTTCTCTTTATTTTTTATTTTCTCTCTCCTCAGTCTATCTCATTTTTTTTCTCTCTCACTCTATCTCTCTCTTTCTTCTGATATTTTTTCAATCTCATATTATCTTTTTTTTTTTGCTTATGTCTCTTATTTCTTTTTTGTTTCTTATCTTTGTTGAATTTAACAAATACTTATTTTTAATAAAATTCAATATTAAAATATCAAAGCTTTAAATATATATTAAAAATATATTTTAACAATTCTATAAATAAATGAACATAATAAATTTAAATATATTGTTCAAATTCAATATTATGAATGAAAAAATATAAATGCATAGATAATTTTATGTAGAGAAATGTTATTTAAAAGAATTCTTTATTTAACAATCTCACAAAATCATCGAGATTTTGCATTTTTTTTTCTCTTGTTTATTTCTCTTTTTTTTTTCTTTCACCTTTGTTTCTTGATGATTATCTTTCTTTTTCTCTCATCTTCTCTTTTCTCTCTCTTTATGCTCTCTCTAATATTTTTTTTGCCTTGTTTCTCCTCTCTTCTCATATCTTCTATATCTTATATTTTCTTTCTCTTTTTGTTCATTTCTCTTATTTATTTGTTTTTGTTCTCTAACTTTTCTCTTATATTTTTTTATCTATCAATATTTTTTTGTTACATTTTTATCTATTAATATTAAAATAGAAGTTATCAATATTATTTTTGAATTATTAAATATTTAAAATCATTTTTAAATTATTAAATATTATATATTTTATTTTTTTGATTATTAAAATTTAACAAATACTTATTTTTAATAAAATTTAATATTGAAATGTTAAATTTTTAAACATATAATAAATGTATATTTTGTCAATTTTACCAATTAATGAATATCATAAATTTGAACTTATTGTTCAAATTCAATAGTATGCATAAGAAAATATAAATGCATATAGAGGTATGTGGAAAAATGTTACTTAAGAAGACATGAAATCATAATAAATTATTTATTAAAATATTAAAAAAATTATTAATCTTATTTTCTTTATTCAAACCTTATCATTTATGTTTTTTTTATTAATTGTATTTGTTTTTTAAAAGTATATATTGTCGTTTGAAATTTAATAAAATCCTTTCAAATCTTATAAATTCTTAAGATATAAATTTATTAAAATTCATATTATAAAATCTTGATTCAAAAATTCATTTTAAAAAAATATTAACTTTCATTATATTCCTACTAAATTTTTTGAAAAAATCTTAAAAATTGTTAAATTCCTATAAAATCTTTTTATCGGATAATTTTTTGTGTTAAAAAAGTCTTATAAAATCTTAGTTCAATACATTCTTTTACTATTTTTTTTTATTAGATAGACTTATACAAGAATAATTTTATATTTTAAATTGTGATTTTATATCTAAATTATGGTCGAATCTCAATTTTCATTTAAGAAATACTAGACTTTAATTACTTATACTAATGACTTTTGACATTATGTGTTAAACATACCCTTAATCTTTGATATCAAAATGAAAATGAAAAATGTCTATAGATCAAATGCAAAAATTTTAAATCCACCACAACTCAACATTTTTATTTATTTATTTTTTTTAATAAGAAGATATGACTCTTTTTTCATCTATCGAACTATATGGAGGTGCAATTGCCTTTTATAGTTCCAAAATATGTATAATATTCATTATTCAAAGTAAGATAGAAGTTTAAATTCATAACCGTCTTACATTTAGGAATTGAAAATACTGTGAGTGAACTCTTGAATAACACAGGAATATATTCACCCATGAACTACAAGACCTTAACTAATGAAGAATTTTGCAACCACGAACTTGAATGAGAGAAACTTATCACAAGAATTTATTCATGATTCTTAAAGTTGTTTTAATAGGATTTCTTAATCCATAAGCAGGAGAGGAATCCCACTATTGAATGTGGAACTTTTTTTTTTTTTGTTGAAGAAATTCTTACCAATTTTTTTGTGTGTTTACTTACTTCCACTTAATTCATTATATATACCTGTATAATTATTGGTGTTAAAAAGCTATACAAATAAGAACATTAAAAAATGATTTAGTTCTAATAAATCCTAATATAATACTACTAATAAATATGAATATCCTAATAAAATATGAACAAAATCTTATTCAAATCCTAATGAAAGTTATGTTCCGCAATCCTAATAAAAAATATGAATCGAGTCAATTTATATCTTATAACTAGTCGGAAAATTTTAAGTTATTAGCTTAAGTTTATAAGTCAACTTATTGAACATTTCAAACTTTAGGAAGCCAGTTTGCATTTTTTTTTCTTAGAAATAATTTTGTAAACAAATTAGTTACCTGTTAGTCCTGTAATTAAATCTGTCAACATTTAACAACAAAATTAAAGGAAGAATTATTCTCATGTTAAAAATCTTAAATATCAAAGTACACAGTTTTAAATTTTAAATACTAAGTCGTACTTGATGCAAATATAAGGTACTGATTTGTATTTTTCCTTGAATAAAAATACAATATTCATTAGCTTGCCATCTAATGAATTTATTGGTAAGTTTAACATATTTGATTAACTTAATATAAAACGATACATCTAAACATATTACAGTCATCTGTGTCCGATTAAATAAAGTGCAATTACACGTATATACAATGTTATCCATTGCAATTTGCAAGCTTGAGTTAGTAATTCGCTATGATGAAGGAAGAAAAGAATGCAATTAAATCAAGTAGTGTTATACTAGTGATTTCATACCATTTGGCTCAAAGAGTTCGTAAATCAGTTTATACCATTAAAGAGTTATGGCTAAAAACCTAATTTGGTCCCTTATAATATTTTTTATTTCAATTTAATCTCATTTTTATTTTTGGTTTCAATTTGGTCTCAAACTAATTAATTGGTTTCAATTTAGTCCCTAATAAATTAACTGGTTTTAATGTGGTCCTTCCGTCAAAATTTCTTAAACGGAGTTAACTTTTGGCCACGTGGATGCCACGTAGATGCATACGTGGATGTCACGTGTGGATGACAATTTTTTTGAAAATACCTGGAACCAGAATGGCCCAATCTGAAACCGGAACGGGCCGTTTCAGACTCAAAAATTAACACACCACCAGTGCATCAGAACGGGCCGTTCTTAAACCAGAACGGTCGTTCTGAATCCAGAACGGGCCATTCTAGTCTCAGAACGGTCCGTTCTGGATTCAGAACAGTCCGTTCCAAAACTGAATATAGAATATTCTTGCTTAATTGTATTTTTGATCGCTCAAGTATTATAATTATGCAATTTTGATCCCTAAGATTTTAATTGAGTAATTTCAGTCCTTAAAAGATTATAGTTGTGTAATTTTAGTCTCACAATTTTTAATTGAACAATTTTAATCTCTCAAATATTATAATTGTGCAATTTTAGTCTTTCTCATTAAAAATTTAATAATTTTAAAATTTTAATATATATATATATATATATAAAGTTTTAAAATTATATAATTATTTGCTTATTTAAATTAACGTATATTATAATTTTTTTAATGTATCAAATGATATATATTTATTATTACTAAATAAATAAAATTTATATATTATTAGTATTTTAATATTACTGATAAATTAATATCAATAATATTTTTACCCTTTTTATAAATAAACTAATAATTTGATAAATATAACTTAATATATATTAATATACTTTTACAAAAATATAAATATATAAGATCAGATATATATTTCTAATTAATATACTTATATTTTTGTAAAAGTATATTAATATATAACAAGTTATATTTATCAAATTATTAGTTTATCTATAAATATATTAATAATATTATTGATATAATATCGAAAATTATAATATACGTTAATTTGAATAGATAAATAATTATTTAATTTTAAAACATTATATATATATATATATATATTAAAATTATTAATTTTTAATGGGAGAAACTAAAATCGTATTGTTATGATATTCTTTATTAATTTTATTAAAAAATATAATAATTTTGAAAAATATTTTTTTATGGTAAAAATTTTAAAATTACTTATTTTTATTAAAATATTTATTTTATTAGATATAACAACATAATTAAAATATAATTAATAATATATATTTTGTAAAATTATTAATATTTTATATATAAAAAAAATAAACCGGAACGGCCCGTTCTGAAACCGGAACGGGCCGTTCTGGTTTCTTTTTAGGTGTGTTAATTTTGCACCTGGAACGGGCCGTTCTCGATGCAAAATTAACACACCAAAAGTGTAAGCAAAACGGTCCGTTCCGGTTTCGGAACGGGCCGTTCTGGGTCCAGGTGTTTTCAAAAAAATTTCATCCACGTGGCATTCACGTATACATCTACGTGGCCAAAAGTTAACTCCGTTTAAATAATTTGGACGGAAGTCTTACATTGAAACCAATTAATTTATTAGGGACTAAATTGAAACCAATTAATTAGTTTGGGACCAAATTGAAACCAAAAATAAAAATGGGACTAAATTGAAACAAAAAATTATTATAAGGGACCAAATTAGGTTTTTAGCCGAGAGTTATTTATCTTAGTCTTACTAAATGCTTTCAACAGTTTCTAATAACTCAAGTTTAGAATTTTCTTCTTCCATGTTTTTCTAAACCAGACATAACATAATCGCCTCAAACCAGAATAAATGAATGCTATATTAGAAAATCAGCTATTAAAGTAAAGTAAATTCTACATGACAAAGTCAAAAAGGACACAATATAATGAATATATTGCAAATTTGAACAAATCAATCTACAAGGAGTAAAGGACCTGTGCTTCATGCCATGATGGTCTCAGGCCTAAAAAATTGTTTACAACATTTCCTACATAACCAAAAGTGTCAACTGTCACAACTTACAGCAATTAATAATTACTGAGGCAACAAAATGTTGCTGACCTTTGTAATAAGACAACAAATCCCAAATTTGAATTGCTAGAAACTGCTGTTAGAAATCTGAGTGTGTATCTTCTGCTAGAGTCAAATGAGTCATGTACAATGGAACAACTAGGTAAGGTAACCTCTCCTATGAAATAACCTGGTTTAAAGAATAGACCCGGTAGCAAGTTAATTAAAGAGCACAATTTTCAGCATTTGATAAAATTCCCCTCCACTAGAAGGTTCTTTCCACCAGTGAAGTTAGGATTGTCATGAAAACCAACCCCAAACAGCACAATCACATGAACCTTGTGATCTGATGCATCATATATTCCAGTCAAGCCCGTAAATGGACATAATAACACTTTTGGTAACAGAATTTCAGCTAGCTCCAATATTTGTTTAAGTCAAATCCAGGATGATTCATTTGCTATTTTGGTTGAAGCTCTTTTTCAGCTAAACTAAAGGTCACCTTTAAACGTTCCTGTATATTTTCTAGGATGTTCTTTGTAATCCTTTTCTGGTTCCTTGTGCTTTTCAGCCATTCAACTCCAAATAATACTTGCACTCTACATCCCTTTGCTTTAGGGGGTGAATCCTCAATTTGGTACCTAAGGTGTATCTGCAGCATATAGGAAACACTGCTCAGTGGTGCAGAAGGTGAAAAACGACAAAAGGATGATAAGAACAGGTAAATCACGGAAATCAAAGATAGAACAAACAGGCAGAAACAAATTACACTTGGCTCACTCACATTGAAATAATCACCGAGAGGAACTCCATGAAGGTTCATAACCTCTTCCACAAGCCAACCCTTTCCATCCAAAAGGGGAGATCTTTGCTGAGTACTTGTCACTTCACCTTTATAACTTGAAATACGCTTCTCAAATTTGTAATATACTGCTCTCTCAGAGATATCAATGTTCTCTGATACCCAAGGGGTATAAGAATAATTAATACAACCGGACTTCTCCATGACCCGACGGTCCAACTCACCCCCACTAAATATCTCCATGAGGTAACTTGCCTGAAATAATTCAAGGAAAAGAACTACAATTAAATGGGAACATTCAAATTTGTAAAGAAAAATGTTGAATAAGGAACAAATATTTGCAGTATGGCAATAATGCATAGATTAGAACATGTGTGTTATGAGAGAGAGCTTACAGGAATTGGAAGAGAGCAAGAATAAATCTCAGACATGCTAACATCATCCACACCAAGGAATGAGCCACTCTCTTCACTTATAAGGCTCTTGGTATCAGATTCTTCTTCAACAAACTCGACCTTCTGTTCTGGACTCAAGGATCTGGCCTTCCAGAGAGCCATGATAGTCCTACATCACCACCCAAATATTTTCTTTATAACACGTGATATCTTCTATACTATTCTCTATCACTATACATTAAGGATTTTTTTTCTGTATGCATCATGCATCATATGGAAGATGAGCCAAAAAAAAATTCCTCCCAAAACAAGGGAAATATTTTTAGTTAAGAAAATATTCACACCAAAATCTATGCGGAGAGTAGGGAAGTTAAGAAGCAATTAGATTTTGTCAAAAATAATAATCAAATATAAATGGAAGGACACCTTTGTCACCATTAGACCAAAATCATTAAATGGTATGGCTTTTCATCCTATTTCATAACTAAGTAACTTGATCTATTATTATGACTGAGTAATACTACAAAAAATGAAAATTACATACAAACAAACTATGCAAGCTATGGGTGTGTTTGGGAACACTCAATTGGAGTTGAAAAAAGAAAAAAACTAGTCACAAAATTTTTCTTTTTTTGTATCAGAACATGCGTTTTTTCGTTGAACGGAGTTTCAAATTAGTATCCAAACATACACTATATTTTCACACATTGCTACTACAATTACATGAAATTACAATTTATAAAAATTTGATTGACAGGTAGGCTATAAACTCTTATGATGAGGTAAAAGGACTTTCATGCTGTTCTGGTATAATAACAGTCAAGATACAAATAAAAGCAGGAAATTTTAATCAGAACGCCATATGAATCAACAAAAGAGTTGCAATTGTGAATAACTAATTCTTTAACACAATACATTGTTCAAACAACCTCAAAAGATTAGATTCAACAGACAAGAAAATAGATCAACAAAAAAGGAAACATTTAAAGGAGTTGTCATAGACCCTAACAAACAGGGCAACAAAAAAAAGAGGCTAAACACAGAATAGGATAGATTTTCAATTGAGTAGCAGGTATATAGGAAATATATTTGTCAAATGTTATATAATGTCCCTTGTCTACCTGTGTGCAACATTAAACGACACAAATGACTGAAAATGGAACTTCAGTCTGCCTTGCTCATCTTGTGTTTTTGCACCATGCCTTGCATCCACACCTCTACCCTTCCGAAGAGTTATGACAATTATTGGACTCCCCATTGATGAAAATGTAGGAGGAATGACCTGAATGTCTTCAATATCTTCCCAAAGAAAAAAGAATTTTGTCTTCTTTCCAAACAAATTTGCATGAAATCCAATTATTCTTGATGATAGGAATAGGCGGCCCTGCAGAGACATATTCACCATTTGATGAGATGATACTAAATAAGCATGTACCAGAAAATACCAAAGTATAAAAATAGATCCCGAATTTCAAAATCACATAAAAGAGTAACCACACCTGCAGGGGCATTTTTCTTTTCAAATGACAGGTAAAGTCATTGATGAGAAATTCCTCAGGTGGAAGCCCAAAGAGTTTCTGAAAAGCTGAATTTGTCTGAGGAGACCGCAAATTTATCTACATTTTTTTAAACAGAGGAATAAGCCACAAAGAAGGGTGACACAACAGGAGTATAACAGAGAGAAGACAAAGTGTTTTTGCATACCTTCTTCCCGACTTCTTTCTCCATTTTACTTAAATACTCTTTTGCAACATTACCACCTCTAGTGTTGTCCAAGAAAATTCTTAGGTGCAACTTAGACTGACATGCCAAAGCCAACTTTCCTTCAAGAGGAACCCATATATCAGCAAGATCTGCTATGTTTGCTTTCAGAAAATTAATTTCAGCATGTCCTAGAGATGCAGCTTCATCAAAAGGCCCATCAAAATCATAAACTACCACATCCAGCACAGAAGGAGGGTCATCCATTGCATCAAACTCAAATATTTCTGCAAATATAGACAATGTTCTTAACCTAAAAAACAATCATATAAATACAGATCATGTACAGTGTATAGGGAAAACTAGAATTATGCATTAGATCACTGGATTCAGAGGTTTGACTGAAATAAAAAATAAACAGAAAATAATAATTAATAAATGATGACGTCATACTCACCATTCCATACAGGATTAGATTTCTGGAACTTAATTGAACTAGTTCTTGTTTTTCCATTGCAAGAAAACACTACATATGGATCAGAGAACCCACTAGAATCAACAGAAGCTAAATTGCTTCCTTCAATTAAGGCAACAGTTAGCAACCACCCATCTCCTTGTGCTTTGATTCCATGATCACTACCTAGTATTTGAGTACCAAAACTAGTCAATACAATCACAGCATGGGCATTAAATTAAGTAAATAGGAACTAAATAATCAAAAAGATAAGATAGACAAAAACTCATAGTCACTTCATTAAAAGCAGCACTAAATCAGGGAGAAAAAAGAAAGCCAGATTGATGAATATGAAGTATCTAAACACTCTGCAAGATTACCCTTTTGTCCTCTGGCCTTTATGAAGCGCGAGATTAAACCCAGCACACGTTCACCTTGAAGAACCAAGACTGCACAGACAACAAATTCACCAATTGAATCTGGCAAGTCAAGCCCACCAAACTCAAGCCCTTGAATTGTGCTGGGTGTAGCCAGCCAAATGTGAACAAGCACATACAACCCAATGAAAACTGTAGAGATTACTGTGAAGTTAGCAAAATATTGCACTGCAAGCTTCCAATCTGATTCAGGTTCTGCATGTAATGATGCCAAAGCTTGTTCCTTATTGGAACTAATGTCCTTCGGATCAACAGGTTTAACAGTCTGAGATAACAAACTAGCATACTGATCAAAGCTATCCTTCATGCCCTGCCGAGCCCCATTTTCTATCATTCCTTTCATCATGGTGTTCTGTATAAAATTCATTCGCCATGATACAACCAGATGTGAACACTGTTCTCCTGTTGGCAACTCTGGTCCAGGTGTGATCACATAGAGTATTTCTACCCTAAAGGTGCTCCCGTACATAACTTCAGGAGTGCTGACACTCGTTAGAACAGCAAAGTTCTTCCCATCAGCTTTTAAATATGTGTGTTCCTCAAAGGCTTTGACAGCCTTAATCAATTTACTAGGAGCCTTAACATAAGTAACTGATCTTTTGAAGATCTCCCCATCATTCTCAAACTTCCAAGGTCCTATTTCCAGTTCTGTATTACCCTGTACATCTGCCAACAACTTGAGAAAATCTGAATCTGATGAAAATAGTAACTCGTTCAAGTCTTCTGGTGCAATAACATATTGCTGATCAATAAGCACTCCGGCTGGTAAATTGCTAGGAATTTCACTGCCTTGATCTTCAGACTGAATTTTTCTCATAGCTTCTTCAAAAGTCTCGTTAGAGGACTGATCCTCAGCCTTCATTTCACTAACTTCTACTTTACTAGTTTCAGGTTGGTCCAAGTCAATGCTTCTACGGGTAGGAGTTGAAGACATGTCAGAACTCTTATTAAAGATTTGGGCAATTCTACCTGTGATTGTTTTTTGTGTACTCGACTTTTCATCCTTGGCAGATGTAATTTCTTCCCTGACAGGAGAAGATGAGCTTGAACGACCTGTGGAAGATCTTGAAGGTGAATCCATCATTCTGGGATGTAATAATAGATCACCACTGCCATTTGACTCAATTAATGCATTCTTTTGTGCAAAATATATGCTCAAACGAATCTCACCTGCCAAGGAAAAATGCCAGAAATTAAGTTCAAGATAACACCAAAACCATGAATCATATACTCATGTTCACAGTTGGTGCTCACATTATTTTCCAAAAGGTGTTTAGGTGAATGACTCTTTGAGATGTATGGTCCATAATAGTCTAAAATCAGACATACATGCCACAATTTACAACATGTTATCAACTTTCACAAAAACAATAAACCTATAGTACGAGTTTAATGGTTTGTTTTGATATATTTTTCTTAAAGCATTTATAAGAGAAAAAAATAGAAAGAAAAAATAAAGTTATTTATTTCTTAAGCTAAAACTAGCTTCTTCGGAAGTTAAAATTAGTTTCACTATAAGTTAAAATTAACTTATGCATAAGTTATTCTGCAGAAACTCTCTAATATTAATTACTTCAAAAACTTTTTTTAACTTATGCACAAGCTAATTTTAATTTATGGGAAAACAAAAATTCATTTTTCCTTCTTATTTTCTTCTACTATAAGAGCTCCAGAAAAAGTTTATCTAAAAAGACCCTAATAAACCCCTCATTTCATCTTAGAAAGGTGTTAGAAACATCAACTTGACTCTTGAAATATTACTACATCAATTTGGCCCTCCAATGATACCTTTTTTTAAATCAAGAAAGACTAACAATAAATGTTCACTAACAAAAAATTGATGTCAAGCAATGACCTAACATCATTTTAGGAGCAATTTGATGCCACTATAAAATAACCAAACAACAAATCTGCTAGTTGAGAGAGAGAGAACAGACATGGCCACTCAAATGTTAGGTAAGCAGCAAACTATCGGAAAAGGTAGAGGAAAGTACAGTTCAGCAGCATAACACACCAGATTCCTTGTTCTTGGACTTCTTGCTTTTAGGCAGCAGAGAATACCAAGCAGTGCCAAGGGACTTGATCTCCTCCTCAAAAACAAGTGAAACTGGCACTTTAAGCTGACCCACAAAATCATCATTGAAGAACTTATCTTCATCCATAACAGATATAACCAACTCCTCATTAAGGTCATCCACTTTAAAGCTAAACTCCTCATCCCACTTTGGATTCAAACACTTCTTGATCACTTTGGTCTTGAACCTGTGCTTCCCCAACTGCAGCCTCACGTACGGATCACTCAACCCATTAGGATCCGTCGGTGGCAAGTTCTTTGCCTCAATCACACGAACCACAAGCTTCATTATCACGCTATAGAACAAAAAGGGAACCAGAATCCCTAGGTAAAAAAGTCAACTTTTTTTACCAAGCTGAAAATTGAAAAGCACCCAAGCAAGATCTTTCAAAAGGGTAATGCCGTTTATGAACTGTAAGTGGAAAAACTAAGAATCAAATTGTTCAACGCAACTCAAAAATTAGACAAACATAAAAACAAAAACATAAATCTTCATTGTGGCAAAAGAAACGCTGAGGACACCGTTGATCTGTGTAAGAATTAATTCGAAACTAAACTCTTGCGGCGAATAAACCGGGAACAGTTGAAACAGTTGAGAAAGAACGAGGAATAATTTCTCAACGACCAAGACAAGAAGAAAAAAATATAAATAAAAGAAGAATTTTGAGACGGATAATGAGGGAGATATTATTGATGGAACCTAAAGTTTCAAAATTAATAGAATGAATGATTGAGGATGAAAAAATAGAAAAAAAGATTGATTTAATAAAAGAAAAATTTGGAGATGAAGTTGTGGAAAAGGGTGATTGTACAAAATGAAATGAAGTTAGATACAAATACTTTTCTTGTATTAAATGGACCCATTTTGTTCAACTGTTAGCCACGACGCGTATGAAGTTCTTCGGTAATATCAGTCATATCATCACACGTCTCAGTTACTTTTATACTATGCTATTATATTTATCATAAGGTGTAAAATAAATATTCAAAAATAAAAGAAAAACAAATTATAAAAAATGATTATTTTCTTTAAAAATAATTATTCCTTTTTTTTAACGGAAATACAAAGTAATTCTTTTTGCTAATTATTAATAATTCTTATACAAGGTAAGTGTCTTTTGTTTTTGTTTTACTTTTTTTTTTCCCTTTTCATCTGCTTATCTAATACACTTGTAAAAAAATTCTTAAAATCAGTTTCTAAGATTGAATATAATAAATTTTATTCTGAAAAATATTTATTATATCCTTATATAATTAATAATTCTAAAAAAATTAAAATACTTTAAATCAATTTTTTATATATCATGAATTTTTTTATTCTTTTATGAAAAACAACCTTGTTTAAGCGGATATGATATTAAATTACAAAAAATCTTGAAAGTGAGGCATTCCATGCCTCATCACAAAAAAAAAAAAAATGAAATAAAATAAAAAATTAAAATTAGAAAAATGTATTGTTAACTTTAAAATAGTGAAGTAGTTATATAAATTAGTTAAAGAAAAAAATGTATTTTAATAAATTTGTTAAGGGATAAAAAAATGTAGACACCAAAATAAGGTGTTTTGTTTATTAATTTTATAGATTATACTTGCATAAGAATGTAAGTAGTGTGTTTTTAATAATTTGAGCTCTTTTATTTAATGAAATTTAATTAAAATTTATTTAATAATAGGAAATATATTAAAAGGAGTGTTATTATTATTTTTTTACTTACATTACATGTGTCTTAATATGTTTACCATAAAAACTAATTACTAGATTCTTAACAAATTATCAAATAATAAAAATATTTAAACTTTTAGATAGTCCTTATCATCAAATTAGTCTTTTAAAATGATAAAAAAAATCTATAAATTAAATTTTTTAAATATAAATCAATTCTTATATATTAAATATAACTTTTTAATTTAATTTTTTTATTATAATTACTTATGAATTAAATTTTATTTTTTTAAAAATAAATTATCAATAAATAAACATAATTCTATAATGTAATATAAATTGTTTATTTTAAATTTATATATATAATTTATTATAAATTTTAGTTGTATATAATAAATATTTAATCATTATATTGAAAAAGTTAAAATACAGTTGATTACTAAATTCATCATTTTTTTTTTAGTGTAAGTGATTTTTTGTATAATAATTCAATTAAAAACCAACTTTGATATAACTTTTAAGATGATTTTTATTAAAATTAATAAACTAATAACATCATAATTAATCTCCTATATATCAAATACGAATGGTTATTTTATATGAAAATATTTTAAAAAAAATTTATTTAACTAAAAAAATTTTAGAAATTATTTTCAACTTCCTATCTAATTTAATTTTTATTTATTATAATTATTTATAAATT